GAATCATGGTATCCATGCAACAGTTTTGGTACGAGTGTCGAGGTCTGGGGTATGACTATTCGGCCCTTGTATGTTACCCGACCTTGCATCACCATGAATCCCACGTGCGACTTCCCTTCATTCTCGATGTCTTTCTTTATTATGAATGAGTCGGCTGTTATTTCCATGTCTAAGTCTGCCATGGGAACAGTCCAAGAAGACACCAAGGTGCCCAATTCTACCTCTGATGTAAACTTCCTGGATAGCGCATCAGCTACCCGATTCATTACACCGGGTTTGTATTGTATCTTAATATCATAACTTAGCAGTTTACCAATCCATTTCTAGTATTCTGCCCCCACTTCACGTTGTTCCATCAAATATTTAAGGCTACGTTGGTCCATACGGATGATGAAGTGTCGCCCTAAGAGATAATGAAATGCTATAACAATAGCCATTAATTCGCACTCATAAACCGACTTTAACCGGTTTTGGGACCCCAAGACTTGGCTAAAATATGCGACTGGTCGAGATGCATGAAGTAAGACCGCTCCTATCCCACTTCCCGAAGCATTTGTCTCTACAGCAAAGGGTTGGTTAAAATCCGGCATGGTCAAAATTGGAGCTTTAGTTAACGCCACTTTAAGCTGCTAGAAGGATTCTGTAGCAGCATCTGTCCACCCAAAGGAGTCCTTGAGTTGTTCCGGGAATGGGGTGGCTATTCGAGCATCCCCCCCCCCCCCCNGGCGGATGAATTTGCGATAGTAACCTATGAGGCCGAGGAGCCTACGTAGATTCCTTAGATTCTTCGGAATGGGTCAATCTACCATAGCCTTAATCTTTTCGTTGTCTACTGCACACCAGCCTCTGAAATCACATGGCCTAAGTAAGCCACCTCCCTCTTTCCAAACTCACATTTAGTCGGATTAGCAAAGTTGATGGGTCGCCAGTAAATTCAATATTGATTCTAAATGTTTCCGATGTTGCTGATTTTGGCTATAAACTAAAATGTCGTCAAAAAACACCAATACATATTTTCAAAAGAATGGCCGAATATATCATTCATCAATGATTGAAAGGTAGTAGAGGCATTGGTTAGGCCGAATGGCATAAGAAGGAACTCGTAATGTCCCTCAGAAGTTCGAAAAGTTGTTTTAGCTACATTCCCTTCTTTCATCCATATTTCGGTATTTGGTGGTATCCTGACTTAAGGTCGATCTTTGAAAACACACATGACCTATGTAGTTCGTCCAGTCGATAACCAGAATGGGAAACTATCTGGAACCGCAACACTGTTAAGGGTTCTATAATCGACGCAGAACCTCCGAGAGTCGTCTTCCTTTTTGACCAAGACTTGGCTGGAATAGGCGTTGTTTAAGTTCTGGATAATTTCCCCACTTTAGCATGTCCTATATCAGTTTTTCCATCTCATTCTTTTGCGCATGAGGGCAGCAGTATGGCTTATTACTGATCACGCTCACCCCCTTTTCAAGTTTAATCGCATGCACTTTTTCCCCATGTGATGGTAGTTCACCCGGTCATTCAAACACCAACTGATAACGGAAAAATGGTGGTGATTCAACAAATGATAAGGTTGTGAACTTCTTTCCACGTGGTTTAGTTGTACCAATTAACCTCGACCCTCCTTGACAGTGGACCAAATCATGTTTTTAAGAGTCACTCTAGACTTTCCCAACGAGGGGTCACCCGAAAAAGTCACTGAAATTCCATTTACAAGGAATCTCATGCTCTGCATTTTCCAATTGGTCGTGACCGCGCCCAATTTTTCCAACCACATAAATGCCGAGTATCACATATGAATTGCCCGACATGGGAGGAAGTCCTCTAGCACCTCTATGCCTTGTAATTGTAACAACACCCCCTTACATTCTCTCATTCCTTGTACTATTTCTCCTGTTCCAACTAATATACCAAACTCCCCTCTTTGAGTCACGTGAATGCCTAACTCCTCGATGACTGACTTTGACAAGAAATTGTGAGTGGCCCCAGGGTTTATCATAATGACGACCTCATGTTCTTTTGTGGTCCCCAAAAGTTTCAGGGTCTAAGGGCTAGTGATCCCCATAACCAAGTTCAAACAAATTTCAATATGATTTACTTCCATGGGTTCATCCACCCGTTCAGCATCACCCGCCTCCTCCTCATCTTCCTCCTGTGCGAGAAAAGCGCTCAATTCCCGATGACAGCATCAATGCGCCACGTTCCATTTCTCATCACAACGAAAACAGAGTCCCCATTCCCTCTTCTGTTGGAGTTCTTTATCGGATAATCGTCTCACTTCCCCAGACGGTTTTGATGATGTATTCACGGTTGTGGGAATGATGGAACTCAATGGCGAATTGGTGCATGATCCCGAGACCGTTTGGGACCATGTCAAACCCAAATTCATTGAAGTTGGGGTAATTCAGTTGGAATTTTAGATTGGGAATGATGGGGAGATTCTTGTTGTTGGATTACCGAAACCAAACGAATTGGAAGCGTACCCTTTTCGTCCCCCTTCCGATTTGGACTAACTTTCAACTTTTCTTCCACATTTGAGGCTAAGGCCATAGCTTGGTCCAAGGTTCGTGGCCTAAAAATCCTGACCTCGGCCCGAACATCAGCTCTAAGCCCATTTATGAACTAGCCCAGAGCGATATCTTCAGATACATTCGTTGACGGGGCTAATAACTCTATGAACTCACGCTGATAATCCAACACAGTACCTAGGTTAGCGACAACCATTGCTCGTGAAGGGAGCCCGACTTGGAGGGGTAAAATTGGCACAACAACAACGAATTAAGTTCCTCCCACCATTTCACCGGTCATCGACGATGCTGCCATTGAAACCAGAGGAGAGCGTCACCTTCGAGGGCTACGATCGCAGCCTCTATCTTATCCTCTTCAACTGGTAGAATCCAAAGTACCTCCCCATCCTCATAATCCAACCGTCTGAATTGATGCCATCAAATAAGGGCATATCGAGTTTCCGGTATCGCCAATTAAGTCAACCTCCTCCCATCGTTGCTCCTCGTGATCCGCTGCTTGAACTAAAACTGCCCACAAAAAGTTGTCCGTTGTGGGATTGGGTGGATTCAGTCAGAATAGTTTGAACCTCCTCTTGAATTGACGAACGGCGATTGACGTTTTCTTCTTATATCGATGAACGAAGGTTGACATTTTCTTCTTGTATCGATGAACGGAGGTGAACGCTTTTCATTGATCATTGATCATCGGCATTTGCTCATTGAACTGTTGTTCTAAGGCCTTCTAGAGACTGGTGACAGAGTTACGTATCGTTGCCATTTCTTCTTCCATAAAAACCAAGCTTTGATTAGTGGTTGGTAGTGCCATGGTTTCCTTAGAGAACAGTGGTTCTGATACCAATTTGTCAAGAACCAAGCTAATAGGCCAAGGTAATCAAAGGAAAATGCTATCTGGCAAATTTGGAATACTTAGAATAGCAAATTATGAAGAGGGCTAGCATTCAGGAGAGTAGACTCTCCTATTACAAGGCTTGAGTAAGTTTCCAAACATCTAAACATCTACAGCACCTGCTTATATAACTAAACAATTAACCGACTAGTAAAGTAAATTTCCCAAAAGGCCCTCAAGGAGGAATACTTTGTGATGCAATCCAACGAACTTGCTACTTATTTATTTTTTCCACCTCTGTGGTCCCAGCCTTATTTTCCTTACTTCAAGTCAAGCCCTCCTCCTAGAATAAGTGAATTTAATGGGTGGGTGCACGACAAAACATATACATAAAACTGTATAATAAATACGAACTTGCCTCCTTACATAACGCCTTGAAAAACGTCATGGCCTCGTCGCGGCTCCTAAGGCCTGACCTCACCGTCACGACACCCCTTATGCCATTTATTAGAACCCAAAAATAAACAACTTCAGTTTACCCATGAGCAGAGCCACTTAGGGTCAAGGTGGGCCCAGGCTCACCATCACATTCTATTTTTAACAAGAAATCAGTTTTATTTTTATTAATCCTCCTCCAACAAGAACTCCATCATCATTACTTTTGTAACATTTTATAAATATTAAAATATTCATTTTTAAATTATGTTCAAAAAACTTTACTTTAATGCTTTATTGGAACCCAAGACCCAAGTAATTATGAAGCACCAACTCGCTATCTTGTTTGATGTTTATTAAATAGCTTGATTGCTTATGTCATTTCTTTTGTTCGCTTATTTGCTTCTAATTGCTAACCTATAGACATAAATCTCCGTTTCAATTTGGATGATTTACATCAATCCATCTTCCCATCATGAAATGGAAGTTAGAATTGTGTTGACAAGTGATTCTTACCAACCACAAGATTTTACTATAAACATGATATAGTTTTATGTCTCCTCTTTAAAATTTTCTAACTTTTGTCACTACTGAAGTTTTGTCTTTCTTGTTTTTGTTTTTAGATCTTAAATATTCACATTCTGATATTTGAATAAGGTTGTATACTTCTAGTAAACTAAGTAGTTTAACTTCTAACAATTAGGGAAAAATACTTAACAAAGAGAAACACAATTATGGTTTAGTGATAGAAGACTAACGGTGATAGTTATAAACAAATTTGTAGAAATCAACTTAGACAATCTTTTTGCAGATCTTGGATTGCAGAGTAGGATTTTTATATATTTGTTTCTTGTTTATCTTATTTATGAATTGGCATGATAACATTAACAAGGACGAACTATAAACCCAAATTCTGGCTCCGGCCCAGGGTATACCACTGCTCCTACTATCCCACCTTTACAAATTGTTCAACTACATGCAGTAACTATTTCCATCTTACAAATTTTTGCTCAGGTGCTCCAACTAAAGTTCATTTGCAAGCAAGAACAAGAATCTAAGCAATGCAAGCTGGTACAATGAAAGCAAATAAATAAGTGGAAACAGTAAGGAAACATATATAACTACCAATTATGAATGCTTTCTTCCCCAAAACATAATGGTTGTACCTTTGGGAAAGGCAAAGAACAGAAGATGCAAATAAAGTAACTTACAGGAACACCCAAAGCCCAAGACTTGACAGCAGCGGTAATGGCTTTGCTCTTACCATTCACCCCTCGGCCATCTTCTCCATATCCCCCAAGAAAATAAGCACTTAAAAACCACCCTGATAAAAGTCTATACCCGTTTTACCATACCATGAACAACTATCATAGCTAAAACTTAATAATAGTTTGAACAGAAGGATAGTCATACCAGCAATAAAAGGGTCAGCGGTTCGCAAAGTTTCAGCATCAAAAACTGAGAAACCATGACTAAACCTTCCTATGGCGGAGAATAAAAGTATCGCCAACACATCTCCACCAGAAAGTAAAGCCACATGGCTGAATTCACAACGAAAAAACAGTGAATAAGAATAAAATCAACATGGGAATTTCAAATTATAAGTATAAACCGTTAAGCACATGAACATCCCACTTCTCACGCAATACAAAATTTCCATCAAATTAAGCAAGAAAAACAAGAATTCTGCTCTTAACCCAATACATGCATAGAGAAATAGAAAAAACGGAAAAAAGTAAATTACCCCCATCTCCTGAAACGGGAATTCGTATCGGGTTTTTCAAATTGGATGACGCCTTCAAGAGGAACATTTTCTTGGCTGACGATGGAGATGGGTTGGTCTTCGGAACCGGTGAAAGAAGCGGTGGCGGGTTTCGATTTGTTTGTCACATCAGCATTGACGACTACAGTTCTGAGGATGGATAAGGATGTGGTAGTAGCTAAGAATTTGGGGCGGCGATTGGAGAAAAGAGGCGGAATCGGGTGGGTGAACTTTGGGGGATGAAGCGTTTGTGTGGATAAAGTGGAAGCAGCTCCGCCGGCGACCTGACTTAGATGCAGATACATTGTTTCAGTTTCTTCACCGAGGAACTCGTCTCCGGAATTTCCTCTAATCAATTTTCAGCCGTCCGTCTCTATGCTGGTTTCTTTCTTGTTTTCACCCAAAACAAAAGAAGAGTAAATTACGTTTTCGGTCCCCGTTGTTTGTTGAAGACTTCTATTTCGTTCCTATTTTTTTTAAAGTATGATTTTCATGGTTGTGGTTTATAATAGATTGTTGTTTGTTTTTATAATTTTCAACTTATTCTTGTTTTTATCCTTGTGGTTTTTCATTAATTGTTATTTTAGTCCATCATATTTATAAGTAATGGTGTGCAGAAAGTCCATCGATCAAATTTAAACCGACCGATTCAATTAGAATCGATCGGCCATAATAGGATATCCATTGTAATTGGATTGGAATGGATCCAAAATTTCAACATGCAAATTGGACCGGTTGATTTCTTGGATGACAAGAATACAATAAAATTGAACGATAAAATTCAATGACCATCCCAATTAGAAATCTAACTAGCATTCAAACTATATATAATTATTAACATTTTACTATATTGTTTTTTAAGTGATATTTATACGTAGTGGTTTCTAATAAATTAAGAAAATATATGAATATTTGGTTAGGTCAAAAAGTACACGAGATGATTGAAGATTGAGTTGTGCAGCTTATCAACTATAATTGACCATTCGAAATGAATAACGTAAATAACAAAGACATAAGATGTTTTGGTAATGCGGAAAACCCCATTATTAGACCCCGTCATTCTGATTTGTAAAAGTATGAAAAGGCTTCAAATGTGGAAGTCCAGATGCCTCATTAGGAAGAACCAGAGGCCGTAACTAGAAGAACATCTTGGAAAAACAAAGCCATTGGCCTCCTTCTGGACATACCTCTGGATTCAACTCTCTTCAACAATGAACAAGTGTCAAATGCATGTGCTACAACCATTTCCACCTAAAGTTTGTTAGAGCATTTTTACATGTGGAACCTTTCCATATGATTTAACTTTCCTCTTATAGACTATAAATTAGGATTCATGTTTAGTTCATTATAAGCTTTTGAATACACTTCTCTACATACAATATTTACGATTATTACGACCAAACCCTAAAGTGTAATTCAGATCTTCATTCAATACATATGATGACGATGGTGATTCAATCATTTTGGTGATATTCTTACAATTTCTCATCATTAATTGTTATAATTTGTTTTAGATCTTATTTGCTTTCGCTTAATATATCATTGTTATGATCTAATTGAGAAATCTGGAACCAACAATTGGTATCAAAACATAATTGAATAGCTATAATCAAATGATCATTTCTAGTTTTTGAAACAATTTCTAATTTTCTGGGTATTTCTTCAAATCCATGTTTCTCGAGTTAGAAACCCTGCTTTCACAATTTTTTGTTTAAGATCTAAAATCCTGTGATTATAGTTGGTTATTCAATTTTTTGAAGAACAATTAGTATTGATTTCAAATGGCAAATTCCAACTGGAATTCAGCTTATAGTGTAGGATCTCTTACAAAACCTCCAACTTTTTAAAAAGACTAATACCCTCAACAGAAAATATGTATGGTTAACCTCTTTGAAATGATGGATTGTGTTGGTCCCAGATGGATCTATAAGATTTTAAAAGTAACAGTTTGTAGAGGAGGGATGAATACAAACACACAGATATTTCACTTTTTAAAATTCTTTATTAATAAAAGAAGATCAATACAGAATTTACATATATTTACAGAATAAAATAAGATACAAAACTTATCTAAAACAATCTAAGGAACACACATGATACATAAAGCAAGGAAGAAAAGACTTGGTAAAAGAAGAAACAATAACTTCACTAGTGAAAGAGCTTGGTATTTTTCACTTAAAGTCAATGTAACTTCGAAAGGTTAAAAAGTATGTTCTTGTATGTGTCTCTCTTCTTGGGTATTTGATGATCTGAGATCTTGTTAGGTTTAAGTTGTGCTTAATCTTGTATTCAAGAGTTTCTCCATTTTGTAAATTTAGTCTTTAAAGCTTTGTTGGTATAAATAGTTTTCCTTGTAATTTTAGAGTTAGTTATAATTATTTGTAATCTTCAAAGAATTTGAATACAAATTCTTTGGTGAAAATTCTCTTTAAATTCATATTATGTTCTTGATTGATTTTAATCTGATTTCAAGATTTGGGATTCTTATTTGGTATCAGAGCAAACTTGTAGCGATTTTGATTAGAAAATCTGCATAGAATTTGAAAAATGTGCACAGAAATCTGGAAAATTGCACATATTCTGACTGTTTCTTCATGTGTTCTTGAGTGTTCTTGATCATATTCTTCATTTTTCATCTAAAATCATCTAATCTTTGTTGTTTGATCTTTGATTTACTGCTAATCTTGTGCGAATTATTGATTATAATCATTGTGTTCAAACAATTTGTGTAATTGATCGATTAATTGTCAAATTTTGAAGATTTTTTGGAGTTTCTGGAAAGTTACTGTTCGTATAAAAAATTCATAAATTTTGTGTGTTTGATCGATATTGTGCTGTATTTTTTTGTAGAATTTGTGTTTGTCATTCATCGCTCATTGAAGATATTCATCGAGCGATTTATATTTCAATCCGGTCATTGAATTTTGCTTATTGTCCGAATTAGTGATATCCGAACATTGAATATTGTTGGTTGTTGTCCGAATTTGTTCATATCCGGTCATTGAATTGTTTGTTATCCGAGTTTGTGGAATGTGGTCAAGTTTGTTGATTGTGTTAAGATTTGTTATCCGAATTGTATTTTGTGTTTGTGATTGATATTGGGTATCCGGTAAATACATTGTCCCGATTCATTTATATCCGGTGAAACCTTCATCCGGATTCAATTGTGAATATTCAAGTGTTGCTTATTACTTTTGTTAATTGTCCGTATACGTATTTCTTTTGGATAAGAATTGTCATTTTAAATCTAAGTGTCCGGAGACACCTTGTCCGGAGACACTTCGTCCGATAACTTGATTTGTTTGATAACATCATCTGGAGACATCATCCAGAGATATTATCCGGGTGGAATTAGTGTGACCGTATTCGTGTGCATGATAATTTTGTGTGTGAATTTTTTTTAATAAAGTCTTTCGAATATTAATTTTTTAATCAAAATCTTGAACTGCAAAGATCCATTTTCTTAGATCAGACATAATGAGTTCAAAAGAAGCTATGGCAATTGGAACAAATACAATACCACCTGTTCTTTTCAGAGGTGACTAAAACTAATGAGAGATCGTTTTCTGAATCTTATTGAGAGACAAAAGGAAGGAGAGTTGATCATGGAATCACTTATGGATAGTCCAGCTGTATTCTGGAAGGAAATACCAGCAATACCAGAACAAAACAGACCATCTGAAATTGTGGTCAAGGAATTAAAATCTAAATACAGTGCTAATGAACAAGCCAGAGCACATGCAGATGTACTGTGTAAAACATATATGATGCAAGCGTTAACTAATGATATTTATACAAGTATTGATAGCTATAAATCTTCAGGAAATAGTGTGTGGAAGCAGATTGAAAGAATGATGATCAATTCCAAGGTAGGTACTCAACTGAAAGTTACTAACTGTATCACAAGCTATGAAGAGTTCAAGGCTAAGGAGGGAGAGAGTCTTGATGATGTGTATGATAGGTTAACAAGACTTCTAAATGAGCTCACCAAGAATGAAATCATAAAAACAATGATTGAGATCAATGTTAAGTTTCTAAGGAATTTGCAGCCAGAATGGAAACAATTTGCTAATAATATCAGATATAACAAATCATTATCTGATATTGACATTCACGAGGTATATGAAACATTCAAGCAGAATAAAGATGATGTGATGGAGATTAGAGACCTGAAGAGAAGAAGAAGAAGAAGGAGAAGGAGAAGAAGAAGGAGGAGAAGAAGGAGGAGAAGGAGAAGAAGGAGGAGAAGGAGAAGAAGGAGAAGAAGGAGAAGAAGGCGAAGAAGGAGAAGGAGAAGAAGGAGAAGGAGAAGGAGAAGGAGAAGGAGAAGGAGGAGGAGGAGAAGAAGAAGAAGGAGGTGAAGGAGGAGGAGGAGGAGGAGAAGGAGGAG